CGAGTTTGTTTTGCGGGGAAAAGGCAGTCATAAGGCATGTAATATAGCATGCATCCAGCGATCTTGAACGAGAACGAATCGTCCATATAAGTTTTGAGGGCATCAATAAGCATGCAATGGATGGCAATCCAAGCAACCAACAACATAAACGAAATCCAAATTTTGGGGGATCTGTATCCCCCAAAGTTGTTGTATACCAGTAGCAATTACATTTGAGCAAATCATATTGGGATAAGATGTTGTGAATAATATCTAGTAAGATAGAAAGCTATACCAGGTTCATGAGATGGTTGAGTGTGATTTTGCAGAGGATGATGTGAGTTCATTTTTGTTTTCTTATAAATTCTTTAAAGGTTAGGGTTGCTAGAGTTACAATCTTTTTAACTGCAGGGATATCACTAGTAGACACTAGCTTAAAGATAGCACAAGAAGTACCCTTCTACCTCAGCTAAATGTTACCTTCCACTTGATAATTTCACCTTCCCTATATTTGTCATTATTGATACAGCATTTACATTACCTATCAAAAAACATATAGATGATGTCTTTTTAGAAAATACAACATCCTTAGTGTCTAACTCTGAAGATTAGTAATGTTGGTATGTAATGCTATTGCACCTCTACACAGGCGATCAGCTGTTATGGGTTGACATCACCCAGCAATACATCACACATAATCCTCTAGGCCCTCACTCAGATTCTGGCTTTACTTATGGTTATTAACTCAATGATCAAGACACTTATTAGACTTAATCAGCATGGCTCCTGCTCTAGCCATAGCTGTCTTATGCCTACCATCTTATAGTCCCACTACCTCTGGCAAGTTTAATAAGTTCAACTCAGGTTACAAGCCACCACTCATCATAGGCCCTACACCAGCACTGACAAGGTAGTCATAGGCCAGCTACTATGATGTACGGTCCTCATCACTGCAGGGCTTTGATTATGGGCTAGCCATAGCTGATCAGAGTCAATTGTACTAGCAGTCATTGCCCTCTTAGCAAGGCCTGCCTCAGCCTATTATTCCTACCTCATATCCCAGTATTTATACTATCAGTTAGGTCTACAGTGTTTTTTTACTATCTGGCAGCCTCCTTCTAGCCCAACCGCCCACACAAGCTTACCCCTCCTTGGACCAACTCACCAGACTGACAATGCCTCAACAAAGAATTAGTAGTACTGGCTGGCATTAAGTACTCATTTCTGAATACTTGCTTGACTAATAGTGCATGATTCACATTTTGTTTTCTGGCAATATCAGGTGTGCTTCTACATGGCCTGACAACCATAAAATGAGTACATGAATTTGCCTCAGACTCTTACAGAAGAAAGATTTGTGCTGCCTAGTGTTGATGTCCATTGTGGTCATAAGATGTGTCAAGTGAGTATTATGTGGGATATACTATGTCGATACGGATACACCCTTTCCATCTTCCTCTAATGTATCTAATATATTAATATCTCATTTACAGATAGACACACCCAAACCACTACACTGATGTGGTGGCCCATGCCTCAGTTGTGAGATTCATTAAGTTTGGACACAGGATACTGGACCCTTTCCTATGAACAAATGTTCCAAGGAAGACTGCAAATAATATGTACCAGTAATGCGCGACTTTGCTCACTACAAAGAAGTGGAGGTCAGACCTTAAGTATTATAAAAACCAGAGCAGGAAAATACATACCCATACCAAAAAAGAATGTTGCCTCTTGTTTGAATAGATAATCTCATATATATCATTTGTACTATTATGTATATTAGAAGAGTGACTATGTTTGAATGCTCCCAATGTAAACTGATATTGAATTGTGAATGTTCACATGATATGTTTCATACATGTACCACCATATCACTCTAGCAGGTGGAATTTCACTTGGACTTCCATCTTGACTTGAGGACTGAATTTTCAAGACCAGCGACTATATTCACAACTGGGATAAAAATATATTTGAGGACTATTACAACTATGAGGACTTACTACATACAACTTTAAGGACACTTTGAAGACTATTACGACTTTGAGGACTTACTATATATGACTTTAAGGACACTTTGAGGACTATTATGACTCTACTATGACTTTAACGATACTTTGAAGACCATTATGACTTTGAGCACTTTAAGCACATAGTGGGAATTTGACTTGATATGACTCTGAGGACACTTTTGGGACTATACTTACTATTATTGGACTTCCAAGACTGGTGACTACTTATGTTCATACTAACTAGTTATGACCAGTCTAATTATGATAATCAAACTGTTACGACTTTGAAGATACAGTCATACTTCCAAGACCTACCTACCATATTCACACCTTCCTTACTAAGCTTCTGTGGATCAACTTCTCCTGTAAAATCCATCCTTCAGATCCATGACATTATCTAATGTCCACTGCTGGTTGAAGCACACAATTGCACAAATTCTATGTCTCTCCTTACCTGATGTCTGTGAATGATCTAAATCCATCTATTTGACTCCACTGCTCATACCTCTTTCCTTGCAACTTTCCTCTCATCTTGACTTTGCAAAGCTCGTAACATTATGAGCTTATATCCAACCTAACACTTAGCTGTATCTTAATTAAGGAAATTCCTGGTTGATATACAATGCTACAGCAAAACTAACTAGATAAGAAGCCAAAGCTTCAGTACACTAATCTTTCCAATTCCAATATAACCGAGGAGGAAAAGCAACATGAACATCAAAGAAGATGGCTTGCCAATGAGAAGCTTGATTTTGCAAGGGCACAAGAGATTAAGAATAACAACACAGCAAACAAGCGAGCATGACAAAAGCAGAAGGAGAAGGCCAACCAAACCACTATCATTGGCTCTTAAGTCCACAAAAAGTCAGAAACCATTGATTGGTCTGATGGATCTATGACTGTACTACCATGCATTATGAGGGATGGGGTTAACAAATGCAAAGAAGATGCCGACATAGCGTCTTTCTTTGTGTCCATTCCAGAATCACTTCCCAAGATGTCTAAGAACATTGTAAACTTACAGTACAAGGACTGGCTGCATGAAGAGCCAACAGCTGTGTGAGGAGATCTCTGCGGCAATTTGCATAAACAAAGCCATTGTGATTTGGAAAATAAGCACACCAAAGCCTGCCTGTAATGTTGGATCTGGACTACCTAGAAGATCATGGTATGTCAGACTTAATGTACATTATCATACATGATAAGTCTATTTTATATATTTATTACATGATCTAATGACATTACAACAGACACTGAACAATGGATGAAGCATTTTATGTATTCTCATCAGCATGCAACTCTCAAAGAGTTCGTGAAAAACATACACGATCCTAATAAGATCCAGTGTATTCTTGACATTATGTTCCAGTATCTTTGTTTGCCACCAGAGGGCATTTTTATAATTATGAAACAATGCATCTAACGGAGCTTTCCCAATACATAGACCATAAGCAAGGAAGGACCCTAATGAACCAAGCACATGAGCACTCTCTGGAAACGTTCCAGCGAATGGTAATTAAATTACCATGCATATCAATGTTACACCAGTGAGTCTATTTCTACTTGCGCTATATTAGACACCTTTAACATCAGTTTTAAGACTTGTACAGTAGGCCCCTGATCGTGCTCTGCATCATGGTTTTGGATTGCAACAAATATGTTGCTGCTGGCACTGAAAATCCAAAGCTCAAAACTATCACCACCAAACCAGTGCAAGACATTGCCAACACAATCATAAAGCATTTCTGGAAGGACCTCAAGAATGCAACGAATGTATATCAAAAGAAGCAACAATGTCCTCAAAGTCAAACTGGTAGGTATACTCCCCTCAAAGTTGTAATGGTCTTCAAAGTGTCCTTAAAGTTGAGATATATACTCAAAGTAATTGAATAGTCCTCAAAGTACATAGTACATAGTAATCCATGAAAATACCTACTACATACTATGTTGTCTTGACAGCTGTGACTTTGAGCACTATATATAGAGTCCTGGGAGTATTTACTATATATGGGCAAAAAGTTCAACTCCAATGTTGAACCAATGTTTGATGCATATGTAACACCAACTTCAACATCTGAGGAATCAACACTCACTCGCCACCACATTAAACCTTTTCCTTGAAATTTGAGGAAGATGTCTGTTCCCCACTCGAAAATACACGAACTACTACTTCTAGGAAATACATGGACTACCTATTTGCATCCAATCCATTTCTTTCGCCCAGGCCATAATCTATCTTGCACGCCATACCAGCATTCCAACTGCTCATGCCACCACTTTCTGCTTCATGACTCCCCACTTAGTAAGCCTGTCTACACAACATGCCTCCTATATTTACAGTCTGACTTTGTTATCCTTTTTCTCTGTCTTGGTGTCTCATTGAGCCTTCGTTGCTTTCATCCTTACTTCTATCATGCCTCTCAATGCCCCCATGATCTTCTGACTACACACTCATAATCATCAGCAACTGAACAGAGCTGGCTTACCACATCACTCTTCCCCCATACTTTTACACTACTATGTTTATTAAGGCAGATGCCAGTAACAACAACATACATTGTCAATAGTGTCCTTTGTAAGACTAAGTCTTGTTAGTGTTATGTTGTTAGCCACTAGACAGAATTCACTTACCACTACAGGTGTAATGCAATTGCCATGACTATCATGGTCCAACTGTCTGTGGTATGCACCTATAGTGTAATCAAAAATTTGAGCAAATTCACCATCACTACCAATGAACTACTGAGTAACTCCAACTGTCAAGCAACAGAAATTTGCCAAGAATTGCCACTGAAATTAGTATTGTTACTGAAATGTGCCAGTTCATAAAAGTCTAACAGAGGAATCAAAGCTGACATACATCTTGCTTGTTTTGGCATAGCAGATGCTCAGTAAGTAGATTGCTTGGTTTTGCCAGAATTTGCAACTGATACTATCATTGCAAGTCTATTCATTGCTTCAAGATATACAGCCCCACCATTTCCACTAGTCGTTGTATGTAAATCAATCATGCAAGCTCAGTATGTCATGACCTTGCAGTCTTTCATTAATTCACTCAGCCAACAAGCATCACAAACCAGCCTGATAGATGCTCTCTTACAGTCTGAGGCTCTTCAGACCATATTTACACATTGCAAACAATTTTACCCTGTTGTGTATGGTAGGAATGTTGGAATATACCTTAGCTGGTGAGTACTACTTATTGTCTCTATCCTAATGATCATCTGACTGCAGTACAGGGAAGCGGCAATTCAACAAGTGAATGGATGGCAAATACGGAAGTTCAAGAAAACCAAGACATTTATTGAGGCCATTGAGTTCATGCTCACCAAAGAAAATGTATCCATGCCTGTCCTGCCAACATTCCTGCCACATGCTGCAATGTCTTGTGGGACACCTTCATGGTCAAATATACATGCTTCATTGAGGACAACGACGAGCTCAGTGCCAGCTTCATGCAAGCAGAAACGGAGTGTGACCAGTCAGCTAATATTTTTCTCTGTTTGGTCAATACTTACACTACACAGATGCTGCCGATGCTCTGAGCATGCTTTCACTCGACATTGAAGATGCACGCCAGCCACCCATCTCACAGCCCACCCAGCCCAAGCTGTGCATGATTTATCGTTATGTCAGATCACTTACTGGAATTGTTGGAGAAGAGTGTGGTCCACCTGACCCCAACATTCATGACAGTGAAGACTATCTTGGCCTGGCTGCAGAGAAGTACCTTGATGCTCACGGGTACAAGAGCAGCACCATTTTTCACATCCTACTTGGATTCAAGGAGGCATACTCTTCATTGGATTTTGTCAACTACATCTGCCCAATACCCTGCGCAAGTTAATGTGCCTAGGATGTTGTATGTCAACTTTGAAGAAAACATATGGCAAAATATGGTGTAGTCTGCGAGGGCTGGCCACTGCAGAAATTTTGCAGCCCTGGAGATATTGGCTCACACACTGAAGTCAAGGTACTTAATAGTGCATGGAAATTGAGGACTGTGAAGTTCCAGAAGATGTCAAAGGCTGAGTTTGAGCAGTGGGAAAAAGATAGGTTCCAGCAGAAATTGAATGTTCATTCACGTAAGTTTACATACGCTAGAAAGATTTTATTCTAACAACTGGAAAGCTCCCAAGCATTGCACCAATTCTACCGCACTGCACAGTCCATTAGAAGGCTCAAGCTCCGCAAACCCCACATCATCTCCACCTGCCATGATGGAGGTGCCTGCATCTGCGCTGCTTACCATCGAAATAATAAGTCTACCACTGGGAACACTTGTCAACATTATATCTGGTATAGGTGGTAAGGAAGTTGTAGGTAAAAAGAAAGCTAGGAAGACGTGCTCTGATAAGGGGAAAAAACGAGGCCCTAAACACTCACAAGCTACCAATGCCAATGCTCCAGCTGCTTGAATTTCTTGGTCAATTCTTACTGTTGATAATAGTTTGTTAAATCTATGTACTCAAGTGTGCTTCGAGTTGTCCTCCTCCAACCATTGTTTGACCCTTGTGCATCTATCCATACAAGCAGTAAGTCTAAGGACGTACGTGATGTCTGTGGTGATAGCAACTGACACATATCTTATATTGGCATAAGATCTTTCTGCATGCCAGTTCTTAGCTTCTATAGCATGGGTATGGTTGTTAGCAGCAGTCATTGTTTGATTCTGACCATAGCGACGAGGGACAGTGACAGGAGCACGACTCAGTAGCCAACCATCCTGCTTCCAGGACCTAGAGGCTGCAGCCACCCAGTCATCCTAATCAGAAGCTATGGTGTGGAGTTCTCGCAAATCATTCAAACACAAGTTCCAAGTGCCCTGGGAGCTATAAACTATGTAAGGAAATCAGTCAGCAGAGTTGGTTTAGAACAACAACAACACAACGAATGAGGCACACTGGCCACGGGTGCCATGGTGGATGAAACATGGAAATGAACAGGTTGCATAACTATTGTATATACAAATTCCATAGCAAGGGATTGTATAGTGAGGAGGGAGTATTGATAGGCATGTGATGCAATCAGATGTCCCTAGTATCGAGATATAGTAAGATGAAAGAAAGTCATGACCATGTCTGTCACAAGTCCCCATCACCACTGTTGCGACAGTGGGTCCAATAGACATGGCATGATTGGACGAGGAGTCTTGGAGAGAAGGGCATGGGGATGGGATGATGGGGACGAACAAGGAATGATATGGCAGACGTCATGGAGAGCAAATCAAAATGTCAAGAAAGATTACACTCACTATATGTTCAACACATCCTTGATCCTCCATGTGGTGAGGTCGTCATCAGTGCCCTAGTGATGCATAACATAGATGGATAGACATGGGTTTGTTGACAGAGTGTAAGCAAGGAACATCATGGCCATGTGGAAGTGAGACGATGAGAGCCTCATGTCACCTTGCTGTCTTTCACTGAGAAGAGAGACATCATTAGCAATGTCGATGTCTTCCAAGTTCTCCCAAGGGCAAACAGCCAGCTCACAATTCAGATGAAGGGCTGGTCCCAAGAGCAATCATGCAACTCGTTGGATCAAAAGTCAACTTGCCAAATTTGGGGCAAGAGACAAGTAGGAAGACAAAGGTTGAGGGTGATGGAGAAGGTGTGGTCAACCACCTTGTTCGGAAGGGAAGCAAGGTGTGCAATCCAACAGAGCCTCCTATGACAAAGCAAAAATCAAGAAAATGCTGAGAGGCATCCCAAGCCAACATCTCGTCATCATGGGGCAAACTTCAAGACAAGATGAGTTAGAGTTGAGAAGGATTTTTGCGGAGGGGTGTATTAAGACAAGGGAGACAAACAGCACTGAAATGTGTCAGAGCAAAGAGAAGAACAAGAAAAAGGTGACTGAGAGGTCCCACTTCATTTGAAAATTGAAATTTTTAGTACAGGATCCGAACGGAATAGATCTAAATGAACATTTAGGCATATGATATTGGAGCGGTGCTGGCAGCATGTATGGGTGCTAGTTTAAAATTCGGGTCAGCAAGGAGATGATTGAGGTACCTGAAGAGATCATTAAAAGGAAAAGACCAAGACATGAAAGGACACCGAAAAAGGATGGGACAAATGAAAGAACAAAGGTGCTTGCTATCTAAACCATTTTTTAGAACAATAGGCAAAAGAGAGCATTCTATGACCAAAAGAACATGTCATGGGCAGGACAGGACTTGGGAGACAACAGATGGCAGAGGGAAGCGAGAAAGGGTCGAAAATCAAATTTATGAATGGAACTGGCAGAAAATTCTGCCAAATGGATGAATGAAACAGGGTACCAGCAGATTAGAGACTGGCTGGCGAGACAAGAAAGGACTGAGGAGGCAGATTATGAGAAAAAGATATCCACAGGGAGTCACATTATGGATATCATACAATTGGGGAGCAAAAGAGACACAGACAATGGAATATGCAAGAGAAGGTACCAGCAAAACAGAAAGACCAGGCAAGAAAACAGCGACTCACATGGACAACTGAACAGGGGATGGAAAGGAAATGATGAGAAGATAGCAACAGAGAGAGAGAGAGAGAGAATGAGAGAGAGAATGTCATGAGTCATTGAACAGTCATAAAGCGAATAATTTAGCATGTATGGAACAGCATGACAGGTAGTTTGTGAGGGAAATGAAAAACAAGAATTGCATCAGTAAAGGACAGCACAGCAAGTGAAGAGTGTACAAGAAAGAAGGACAAAACAAATGAAACAAATTCAGCAGAACACAATGTTCATTGAATGATCAGACAGCAAGGGCATGAAAAGAGCTAGAAATATGTAGCAGCAGCAGGTGGCCAAATGGCAAACACCAATAGCATTGTTTAACACTGCAGGAGATCAATATGCAACAGACTCACAAGGAAAAAGTAAAGGATCGCACATCAGCATTAAGGAGATGGAGATAGACCAAGCAACTCATTCATTATGTCATGATCTAATGCGAAAGACAGAGAGATGGATGCAAACACACCATGAAACGTGAAATGATGAGCAAACAGCGAGATGGACAAACATACAGGAAAAACAGCAAGAAAGCAACAACAAGAAAAGCAGGCAGACAAGAAACAGGGCAGCAAGTCAAGCTATGTATGTAGTACAATGTGCGAGATTGAAAGAAACAGCATGTAAAAACGAAATGTTCAAATGCCTGGGATGATAGTTTCGTTGTCCTCATCATCTGAACTTTGGACATTGACCTTGGCCTTCTTCATGTTCTTTCTGCCACATCCATGGGTGGAAGATGACGATGAAGTGCCAGTGATTGAATTGATGAATGATTAGTGGACACGGGGTGAGGAAATATCAACACAGACATGTACCATCATCATTAGTGCAGAATTGTGACTCCCAGAGTTGAGCAAGTCATCAAGAATCTTGATGTCATCGTCCAAGGGAGAAGGAGATGCTTAATGTTGGCTTGGGGCTTACCAGATGAAGTCTTTGATGGCTTGGACATTGAAGGAAGGTTGGACTGCTCTGATTGAGGAATGGGAGTTTGTGTACAAACAGCAGTATCGTTGACATTATGAAGAGGGGCAGACTTAGAGTGTGCGGGCACATCATCTGGCTCTTTGTCTTGCTCTGGGACAGGAGGAGTCTGAATGTTAACTGCCCAGCTCTTCCCTTTCTTCTTCTTCTTCTTCTTCTTCAGAGCAGGCTCCTCCTCCAATTGTTCGTTGTCATCAGGATCGACCAATGTCTTATTGCCCTGCAAGATAAGAGTGTAGGTGAGAATGTAGAATGAGGCAAAGTATACATAGAACATGTGTTTTACAATACATTGCAAAGCATGACATGACTTACCTGCATAAATGGGTCTTCATACGACTCTGGTACTGGGACACCAAGTTCAATATTATGGGTGTTTACGTTGAATGGCTTGGTAGGATCTTCATTGAGCAGATGATCACGAAGTCTCGCACCATTAACCTCTACGCCCTGTTGAAAAATACAATCAGCTCACTTATTAGCTGCAGATACAATGGTGGCATATGTGGCCATATATATATGTGCATCCTTGTATACCAAGCAACCTAGATGTAGAGGTTGTATGGCACAGAATGATATGCATTTACACACATGCCACACATAGAATGGTGGCCACAGTGGATGATGACTTACTTTAATGAAATCTATCAATGGACATGTGACATCTCAGATAGCAGCGAGGTGGGTGTTAAGAATATGCTCAAAGGTCAAATCCAAAGGGCTTGGCTTCAGCTCATGCGCCACGCCCCTTACCCAAGTACGTGTCCCTAACTTCCGAAGGCTGTTGAACAATGTCCGAAGGTTGTCAGACAATGTCCGGAGTCCGATGTCCGATGTGCGGGAATTCTGGTAAGTGATAAGACTAATCCGGACAATGTCCAAACTAGAAAGGAAATAGTGGAGGACTACCAGAGGTAGAGGCAGAGGTGACGAGTCTATAGGAGTCAATCCTAAGACCAGCGGAGGACGACGAGAGAAGAACTCAAGTCGGACGGAAGAGGGAATGAGCAGAGTCTAAGATAATATTTGAACTAAGGAAGTACAAAGATTCTACTGGGTTTATATAATACTGACGATTTAATGGAGAATCAGTCAGCGCAGTCTGAAGCTATGCGAGGCTGTAGATGGAGCATATAGAAAAGTCTAACACTAGTCTATCAGAAAATAGTAATGAAGATGGAAATGAGAACATAGGAAAATAAAGGCAGAAATGAGATGAGGTACGGAAAATGAGTATAGTCTAACTGGAGAATGAACATACAAAGGGATAAGGCATGGAAGATAGATGCAGGTTGGATCCGGATGATAGATAAAAGTCGGCCGGATCTGGAAATGATATGTGTGATAGGTCCAGGTCTGGAACACGGGATATGACAGTGGGACTGGATGTCAAGCAGACACAGGGCATGCTCATCACATAGGCCACAAATTATGGATGGCATCCCAGTCTCTTTGTATGTGTTTTAGCTGACCAGCCCCACCTAATATCTGTACCTTTTCTAGGTGAGGTGACAGTGCGAGCTCAATGAGCCTGTGAAGTGCCCCTTGAACATACTTGTTGTTCAGGAGCCTGGGATGGTACTTCATAAAACATGTCTGTTCAACGGTAATCGCCCTCATGACCGGCTCAATGTCTCTGGTCCTGTTCTTGAGCAATGGACTCAGCTAATCCCAACCATTGTGTGCAGCACCATCATGCCTGCAATCACATGCGATTCCATTGCCAAGTTCTGGCTTTTGGGGCCATTCTTTACCCTTTCTGAAGTGTGAAATTTTGAGAGCGCCTCACTTGTGAGGGTCTCAGCCACAGGTAAATTCAAGTATTCAGTGTCAAGCACTTTCTTGTCAGTAGGTCATTTCACAAGTGAGTGCTTGTTGTATACCATGCAGTTAGTTAACTGCATCATCAACGTACGTCGGTGAGTCCAAATAATTTTGGTGACCTGTATGAGCTAAAGTCAGCGTCTTGTGATGCATCTGCTAACAACATAGGTACTTACCTCTCTGGGGTTGTTGTGCCCATGTTCAATGAAACATGGATCTTTCCCGATGTTGGCCATCATCATGCTGGACCAATCGTCCATTGTGTGTGGGTCTTCAGGTCCAGAATTCAGCCTGTTCAATGGATCTTCACAATCATTCAGTTGTCGCATCTGGTGATGCTGCAAATTGATACACACCATCTGAAGACCTCATTGACACACTGCTGAAGCACTGTGACTGCCAGCGGGGTCTCAGAATGAAACCATTTGCCGGAGGGCAAGAAAAACCTGGTGGGTTTGGCTGTTCTGAAATCGATCAGCATGCAAGCTTGCGCAAAGAGCCAAGCCAACAATTCAAACTCACCCACCAGCGTTTGGATGTCATGTGGACATAGATGCAAAGATGAGTACAGCGGGCTACCACATTAACCGACCTGATTTTCAGACCAAGACCTTTGTGAATCGTCATCCTGTCAATCAGTGCAGCCACCGAACACATGGGGGCCAGGAATCGGATGAGATGGTCACAACCGTAATGGTGCATCACTGCTTGAACTGCTTTGACAACATGTGTCTTGCCTGTGCCTCCGGGTCCTGTCATGAGCATGGTGAGTGGTTCCTGTTCAACTGCATCTGGTTTCTTGCTGACGTACTTCACAAGGAAATGGGATGTGATGATATGAAATGCCCTCCATTGTGCTACATTCAGACTGAAAGAAGTGCCAATATCATTGACGATGTCAGTGGCTGAGCGTTGATGCATGTCAACAGGTGGAGGAGTGAATGCTTCTGTGGGTGGACATGGCAAGTCATCAGCTTGACCGTTTCCTGTCCCAGCTTCTTCAATAGCAGCATGTGAATCCCACATGACATGCTCTGTTGGAGGAGCCACAGAGTGTGCGGATTGTTGATCTGGATTCAGAGCATTGTGTCTGGCGGTTGCAACCTGCAGTTCTTGTTGCTTAATCTCTCAGCATTCCAAAGCTTGAAGCGGGCACTGACACCATCTTCATTAGGATACACACCATGTGCACTATGTAGCACAGAAGTCCCTACCATGAGTGACTCAAACCAGCCTGATTACAGCAGCTCAAGGACCATTTGTTGGACCCAAAAATCTGATTCTGAATGCCTTGACTGCAGGGGCACAGTAAAGTCAAGTTCATCGTCATCACCCTCAATTGCCATGGATGCAGTGAATGCCTTGTTCTCTGCAGTGAGCTGTGCATGCTTCTGAAGTCTTTCTGTGTCACGCTCATCCTCGCACTCATGTACAGCTTCCCAATTACTCAACACTTGCAGACTTGCAGGACACAATTTGGACTTTTCAAAACAAGTCACAGGATCCTCGGCCGAGCCCAGAAGGTCCGTTGAGACACTAAATGGCTTGAAATGAGCAAGAACAAAGAGGGCCCACAACCTGGCATTCATGGGCCGAGGAATGGATATGCCAACTACGTGAGGCACGAGCTCGGAATTCCCCTCACCTCGTTCTTCATTGGTGTGTTCGACAAGTACATGTGTCTCGCTGCAACGGTGACCAACATTCAAACAATGCCTGCGCAACACCCCAAGGCGAGTTTTGAAGGTGTGCTTATTGTTGGCACTCTTACTAATGATCTCCAAGCGTACACAACAACAAAATTCATAGAAATTCATATGGGATAGCATGTCGGCACGGTAGATGTAGTCATGCACCTGGTTCGTGTCAAATAGTTGTCCCTCGTCATTGGTGGCTATGCACATGTGCATTTGCTCAGTCTCATCATCATCTCCAGCCAAATTGAAACTCGCATCAGGGAATCCACCAGAGTTTTTCAACCAAGGATAACGATCTTTGAGATAAGAGATCAGAAGCGAGGACAGCATCAGTGATGTCTTATGAGCTGAAATGCCATCGCCATATCCCTGAATATACTGGGCGGCCTGCTGGGCATGGACATGTTGTTGTCCATTGAACTGAGACAAATACTTATGAAGAAGAGCCTTTGCACTATCAGCAATGGTGTCTCCCAGTCCTTGGGGGACGACACGTGCAACAGCCTGAGACAACAGGGACAGGACCTTCACTGCGGGCATTTTCTCATTTTCCTCCACCAAACATCCAAAAAACATTGAATTAGAAGATAGAAATTTCTTTTTATTGTGTGTATCAAAACATTGAAAAAAAATAATGAATGTATTGAAGATTTTCTGTATGCAAGACATAATCTAAAAATGAGTCATTTTCCCTCAAGAAACAGTCTATATTTTTTATTCATCATTCCTCAAATAACAATTTACAATCATGTCAATTTTTTGGCCTCTGTTTTTCCAATGTTCTGTGTATCAAAAATCTCAATTACTTCATCCTGTTCACCATATGTTTGATCCAAGAACATTGAAAAATCATATAACAAATAATAATAAATATTTTGACAATGTTTTGTTAAGGAAAAGCAAAGAAACTTTCAAACTTTCATTTGTATATTTGATCAGAGGAAATTTATGAAACATGCCCCATGTTTTGTAAGAATAAATACATAATGTTTGCAGTATATTCCTCCGGCACAACACTTAAAAAACATTTATTATGTTCAGAGAAAAAAAATGAAACATGATTGCAGGATACTCTGCCTCAGAACATGCACAAATTATACATTGTTTTCTGCACACAATAGGTGGAAAATACAGCATTATCCTTGAAGGAACATGATGAATTTTTGCATCATGTCCCACACACAGAAAATCATTGAAACATAAATTATTATTTTTTCAATGTTTTGACAGACAAAATGAAGGTACACTGGTCCAAGTAGTGCTGCTAAGAACCAAGAACCATTCGGCGGGGAAATGAGAACAAAATGGTGTGACAATATAGAAGGGTTTTTTGAGAAGATTTTTAGTAATGGTGAAGCGATGAGTATAGAGGCAAGGTTGAGAGTGGGGGCGCAAGTGCCAAACCTGGGTCCAGTTCTACCAGAGTCGACAAACCCTGGATTGAACCTTTGCAAACTGTTCAGAGTGGTCATGTTTGGTTTTTTTGGGGTTCAAATGTGAACCATCCATGTCACAAGCCAACAACTGGACTGCTTGGTGCAGCACTGAGGCAGTCATGTACTAAATACACCAACTGCAGTTTCACAGGCAGAAAGAAATGCAAATTAATGCCAAGTGATGTCAAGGAGCAAAAGCAGCTGGTTGTGCATAAGAAAGGCTGACTTAAAGGATTCATCAATTTTCTGTGTCCCATGGGCCATGACATGTGTAAGGATTGTCTATCCTCTACACACGGCCCGCACCTCAAAAAGGAAATCTGAGAACTGTCATTCACAAAGTCCACATGACTCACGGATGCGAGAAAGCTCTACACTTTGCATCCGAGTTATGTGGATACATTCTCTCACTTCTCCATTCTCTCTTTTTCCGTTATCTTACCTTGTGCTCAAACTTCACGATACCCTTGTTTCACCAAAGTATTTTCACCTCGCCATATGCTCCCCATTCTTATTTCAGCCTAGTAAAGTACTTGAAAATGTATTTATACTGCTCATGTACACTCATAACAACAGCAGAATCATATGTTGGTTCCCTGCTCAAAGCAAACTTTGCTCTACAGAAAGTCTTAGCCTCTCGAAATGTTTCGTCTTCACACTTGCACCCCTACTCTCAACCTTGCCTCTGAGTCACGTGGAGGATGCGAGAAAGCTCTACACTTTGCATCCGAGTTATGTGGATACATTCTCTCACTTCTCCATTCTCTCTTTTTCCGTTATCTTACCTTGTGCTCAAACTTCACGATACCCTTGTTTCACCAAAGTATTTTCACCTCGCCATATGCTCCCCATTCTTATTTCAGCCTAGTAAAGTACTTGAAAATGTATTTATACTGCTCATGTACACTCATAACAACAGCAGAATCATATGTTGGTTCCCTGCTCAAAGCAAACTTTGCTCTACAGAAAGTCTTAGCCTCTCGAAATGTTTCGTCTTCACACTTGCACCCCTACTCTCAACCTTGCCTCTATACTCATCGCTTCACCATTACTAAAAATCTTCTCAAAAAACCCTTCTATATTGTCACACCATTTTGTTCTCATTTCCCCGCCGAATGGTTCTTGGTTCTTAGCAGCACTACTTGGACCAGTGTACCTTCATTTTGTCTGTCAAAACATTGAAAAAATAATAATTTATGTTTCAATGATTTTCTGTGTGTGGGACATGATGCAAAAATTCATCATGTTCCTTCAAGGATAATGCTGTATTTTCCACCTATTGTGTGCAGAAAACAATGTATAATTTGTGCATGTTCTGAGGCAGAGTATCCTGCAATCATGTTTCATTTTTTTTCTCTGAACATAATAAATGTTTTTTAAGTGTTGTGCCGGAGGAATATACTGCAAACATTATGTATTTATTCTTACAAAACATGGGGCATGTTTCATAAATTTCCTCTGATCAAATATACAAATGAAAGTTTGAAAGTTTCTTTGCTTTTCCTTAACAAAACATTGTCAAAATATTTATTATTATTTGTTATATGATTTTTCAATGTTCTTGGATCAAACATATGGTGAACAGGATGAAGTAATTGAGATTTTTGATACACAGAACATTGGAAAAACAGAGGCCAAAAAATTGACATGATTGTAAATTGTTATTTGAGGAATGATGAATGAAAAATATAGACTGTTTCTTGAGGGAAAATGACTCATTTTTAGATTATGTCTTGCATACAGAAAATCTTCAATACATTCATTATTTTTTTTCAATGTTTTGATACACACAATAAAAAGAAATTTCTATCTTCTAATTCAATGTTTTTTGGATGTTTGGTGGAGGAAAATGAGAAAATGCCCGCAGTGCTTGTAAGTCTTGACATCCATCTTTGTTATGTAGTCAAAAATGTAGAACATAGCAGCCTTGGCACCTTGACCAGATAATATGCATTTAATGTCATGGTTGTGCCTACAAAACACCAAGATATATGGATTGAGGTAATTCACATTTGTGTTGTGACACATCAAAACCACGGAGTTAGTGTCTGGATCAAATGAGGATGCTTTGATGACCTCATGCGGAAACAGAAAGCGACAGCGATCATCATTCCCATACTTATGACGGACAGGATGACACCTGTGACACTGTAGAACCTTGCCACATCATTTGATCTCAGTGACATAGACAGCTTCCCACTGCCGCATCTCATTGAAGGGAGCATTGACATCAGGTGAGCGCGGTGGACGTTATACACGTGGTTCAAAGTTGGAGCCCACAATATCTTCTGTATCAGGCAGGTGGTGGTGAATGATCTGCTCAAAGAAATTGAAAAAACGATGTTGGTACTCAACAGATGCATGCAGCCTGTTGTGCATGACTGATGGATTGAGACTACCTTCAAGCCAGATCAAAAAATGTCCATGCAAGGAACCATGCTCCGTGAACTCTGAGGTGCCATAGAAAGCATGTATGTAACTGAATATGCCACCGGTAGCAATGGACTCGCTGTTGTCGACGTCCCATCCCAACAGGTGATGAAATAGAGTATGGTAAGAGAACTCAAAAAAGTCAGCAGCGGCTACAGGGTCCTGAGCAAGTCTCAGGGCACAATCTCAGCCAGATGGGACAGCCAGGAGATGCACACCGAGGTCAACCATCTGATCGCCAAACATGGCTTGGAACACAGGACTATGTGCAGGACTAGGGTTGAACATGAAAAAGATATGTGGGAGACCGAAGTACCCATAATAACTGCGGATCTCATTTCACACAAATATCTTTAAGGCCTGTGAGCCGGGAATGCGAGCAGAGAGCGTGTTCACCTGTTGTAAGAGCTGGAGAGCATTGCATTCCTCAATGGATGGATTAACCAGCTTGTGCTCACATTCCAACTTCACGGCCAAACACTCCAAAAGTCCTGGTGTGACACTGGTCAATTTGCAAGCAACTGTGTCAAGGTTTGACTTGCCCACCATGAAAAGGTGTGAAGATGCACTTGACGGTGCTGCAGGTCGTGACTCAGCACCCTCTCTGGGCAACAGATTTCGGATCGCAGATGCCACAAAACTTCGACCAGGTAATTGGACACTTTCCGGATCAGATACACCTGTTTTCTCTACCATACATGGCTGCATGACAGAGTCATCCGCGGGGCTCTGAGTGAACAGTGTTGTGGGATGCTCGGAGAAACCAGCAGTCTTGAGATTAAATACAGAGTCTACATTGAGTTCATGGTCTTCAACCACATGAGCATCAAGGCCAGGTATAGGGCCATCCTCAAGGTACAAACCCACAATGGCAGAATCCAATGGTAGGTCCACATACAGAACATTGTGATGATGCAGTCAGACCAGGAAGTCCCATATCTTCTGTTTCCACACGCAAAAGAGGGAACCGAACTGCTTGGGATCAAACTTCTCAGGACCAATGAAAACCACACTGAGGAAGCCATTAACGTCTGCGTGTGTGTGAGGTAATACATTTGTGGTGGAAACTGTGTTCATCTCATGAGCACAGGTGTTTCCATGGGAAACTCTAGGCTGGGCAGGATCAGACGATTGGAACAGGTGAGTGACATGCACAGTGATACAGTACAATGCACAAACCTTTTCCTCTACCCATGTGAGATTGGCAAACTGGTCCAGTAAGGAGCCCTGATACAGATCATTTGTGAGTGCTAGCTGAGGAACTCTACTCTTGCCCAGCGAAGACCAACAATCAATACAGACATTGAACTCAACAGCACAGCCCGAGTCCACATCAAACTTAACCCCAGCCTTATCCAACATAATACCATCGATGGCATTGTGTCCAAAAGTGAAGATTACTGATAGTGACTGCACCACACAGGCCTGGACAATGAAAGGATCTGTGACACGAAGCAGTTCTAAATGATAATCAACCAAATCATCATCCACAAGCCTGACAGCTGAAACAGACTCCTGCTTTAACACTATACATTGTATCCTGCTGCGGTAGTTCCTGATCTCCTTTACAGAGCTGGAGGCAAGCAAGAGGCTCTCAACAACAGCACAGCCAAACTCAATGCACAATATACAGTGTAGGATCTTACCATCTGTCAGTCACGTGACATCATCGAATGGGGCGAGTGAACCGACAGTAAGGGACAGCATGTCAGTCCCAGCCCAATAAAGCCATAGAGCACACAGACGGATAGCAGCAGCCAGCCCATTGCAGATTTTGCAAAGAGATCAGGTGTCAATTGAGGATCGGACACTCAACAGCAGCTGACGAATGCAAGAGGAGATGACAAGCTGACTCATGGTGCAAAGAGCACAAGATAAGTCATCCATAGGTACATTCAACCACAGCATGCTCAAAGAGGCTGAGGCCTCAGACACCATGTCCTCAAGATCATTAAAGGCAGGGAGAGGGGCCGGTCGACGTAGAGCTGCAGCCACAACATCACCATACACATCACAGAGATGAGACACAATCAGGGCTGCATGTGAGGGGACACAGCCGACGGGCAAGGCTGTATCAGATAACCAGGCAGACAAGAGCCCATCGTCCATCGCTGCAAACTCGGACAGTCGAGCACGAAAATGCCCCAAAATCACTGCAAGAGCATCTTTCTTGGTATGGAAGGATGTTTTTCATGTGGTGAGAGCCCATGTGGCAGGGAGCAACTGAGGGAGAGTCAGCATCTGCAAATTGCAGTCATAATGAGCATCATCATAGCGAAACCAAGCAGGGGCCTCATCCCGTCTCAATTCCATGCACAGCCCACTGGGCAGCATAGAACCACCTGGGTGTGATGCCACATCAGGATCAATGGATTTGGGAGTACAATTTTCAAGTTTAATAGTGCGGGGTACATCATAACAAATAGTTCGCAGAGAGCAAGTATCAGATTCAAGATTACAAGGCACCTCATGTGCATCCACCAAGGACATGCTGCTTAAAAGGACACATCAGCGAGGCACGGACACAAACACAACTCAAAAGAATGACCCACAGACGTGATGTGCATGGACAGAAGGATGCAGTCACCGACAGAGGAGGAAGGAAGAGCAAAAAAAAAGACGATGCATACCACGACCGGGTCATGTCTCACAATGGACAACCATGTGAAAGCGATTGCAAGCACCAAAATGTCATCCAGAACACGTAAGCTGCAGACTAGTTGACAGAAAATTGCACATTTGTGTCTGACCAAACCCTTCTCCCACTAACCATGGGAGTCGGGGACAGTCTTGCTGTAGAAAGAAAGGGTGAATCCTGCATCAGAAAACCTACACTTTTCCTAATTATATTTTAGTAATTTTGTGTAATCTTCAGGACTTCTAGAAGGCAAATAAGAAATTTTTAGCTAAGATGATGAAGACATTACAAGAGAATGTAAGAAATTAAAATTTAGCATGATTTAGTGTGATTTAGTAAAATTACTCATCTTATTACCTGTTTCATTATAAAACATACACCTGTTGATGCATTTAACAATTTATTTTCCTTTGACAGGACCCAAGGCACACTGTTTTCTTACTTGAGGTGTCTTATATAAAACTAGTCAAAAGACAATAACACTACAATTACACTTGGTGAAATAGTGACATATGGAATATTCACTTTCTTCATAAGGGCTGAAAATGCTCCTTATACTTCTGCTCCTTTATATATCTGTGGTTACCTGTCCAATAGCACTGTATCTATAATAAAAGCTGAAGAGCTTCCTAGAAGAACTTGTTAATGACCTTAGCAGTGGGTGCTTTTATCCTTCTATATAGTCTGACAAATCATCCCTTGCTAGCACAATATACTTGAACCCTTGGGCTAGAGGCATATGCACAATATTAATGTATACTAGGACAACCAATGAATATAGGCTGTCCATTTGGATATGTGGCACACTGAGACTTGATGTCAGGATAAGGTCATTCATGATAGAAGGAACAGAGTGATCTTCTTTCCATAGGTCATTATCAGTGAGATCTCTATCTAACAGAATAGAGGGAATCAAACATGCCAATTCTCACACTGATTCTGTTGCTGATTCTATTGTGGATTTTCGATGATAGAATCAGATAGAATTGAGAATCAACAAGAATCATTGAAGTGGCTTTGGAGCTGCTTCAACGATTCATTTCACTATCAATTCACTACTATCTTGTTGTCATGTCCAAATTTGTAAAATTATACATCAAAACATATTACAAAGAAACAGGCAAGAAAGGATCAAAGGGTCAGGACAGTGGTGCAAAGGCAAAGGGAGATGATGATGATATGATAAATCTCGAGCCACCTGATATTGAGTGCATGAACCTGTTTTTCTGTTAATTAGTATAATCTGACAATGTATAACTGCAGATAGACCAAAGAACTCACTTTTCAGATGCTAACTGAGATCATTGAAGACAAAGACATCTAATAAGGCCTCTTTCCTGCTCCTGAGTCAAACCCGAGGAATTAAGGTGTTCTGAAGACACACTGGCACTGGACTCTGTGTAGGAAGCTCTTTTTGGAGCATGCTAAATATAAATTATAGTTCCAAGAGCTGCAGGACAAAGGCACATTAAAACAGAATGAAGCCTGGCATACAAAAATTAAAAACAGGTCCAAAAAGTGAGTTCTTCAAGTACCACTTGATTCAAATAACTTAGGTTTAAATAGGATGACTGATAACACATTGAAGCATATCAAAATCATGGGTGCAATAGGCGCCAGCATAACAAAGTGGTTTGATGTAGACAAGAGCCATCAAAACCCATTTGTTACTAAGTGGAGTATGTACTTGTGTGTTGTCATTTATGCTGTTGAAAATAATGATTTTGTCAAATAGTGGAGATTGAGGGGGCATGCCCATACTTTTTTGAGATGCATGAATTGATTGGGCAGTGCCCAAACAATGCTGTTGGTGTCATATCCCGCATTCTGGACCCGGACCTAAGTTCTATTTTTATGAGCTCCACCCATCATCTCGCATTCATCAAAGCCTGGTGTAGAGACTAATATCTCTGTGGGCTTGCAGGGATCTAAAATCACAATGTCTCTATCACTTCTTAATATAGCGCAACTCATATCTCACCCAGCGCACTTGAGCGCTCTGTCGGCTGCTCGCGCACACCAGCACTTTGGTTGCGCATCCTCGGTTCCGTCGCTCGTCCTCTGTCCATCCATTCCATGTCCGTTTGGTTTGTTGGTGCGTATTCCGATTCTATTTTCATTTATTCTGACATATCTCCGGCGCTTATGACCATATCTCATATGTTTTCTGTCATGGACCCAACAACCATCCCTGCAACCTGCTGCCCGGCGCGTTTGTTGAAACACCTAAAAATCTCTTAGATCCAAACTTTATTTCCTTGTCTCTGCTTACCCCGCTAACCATTTCTAGTGCAATGGTTAAAGAAGAACCTTCATCTCGGATACGTGCGCCGCTAACAAGTGTAGCGCCCGTTGTTAAAACGGAACAAACAGAACCCCTAATTGGGCTGAACTCTATTCAGAACCATGCCACCATATTGATCCCTCAGTTCGGTCACCCAGGACCATCAAACATCATACTTCCAACACCCACCATAGCCAAGCCTCAACCTACCAAACCCCAACCTATCAAGATGTCTTCAGCTATCAGAATGTCGATCTGTGGTTCAGACAAAGCATTGAAGTTTGACGGCACAGCGGAAAACCTCCTCATGTTCATCAAGGATTATGAGTCATGCGCTGATGACACGAACCTGGTCGGAGGCGACCAAATCAAAGGTATCATTTGCTACTTACCTAACAGCAAGTACGCGCTCTGGTCTGGAATGCCGGAGGCGAAGTTAAGCGACTATGATGCTTTTATTGAGGAGGTAAAGGAAATGTATCCTGGCTGTGAAGGTGAGAAGCGCTATGCCGTATCTGACCTTCAGTTGGTTACGCACAAACATGCAGCCTTACCAATGCCTTCGCTCACCAAGCTTGGCAATTACTGCCGCATGTTCAGAGAGATCACCGATTCCTTGATCGCAAAAGATCACATAGGTAAGGCAGAATGGAACCACATGTGGCTAGAAGGGTTCCCAAGCGACGTTCAAGCGCTGCTTCGCATGTGCTTAATGATCAAGTTCCTGGATCATCATCCATGTGACCCTTACCCCTTTGCAGATGTAGATGTGGCCGCCAAGTTCTTGATCACAGGAATGGGAGCCATGACTCCAGAAACCGTTGGAATGTCGGTATTGACATCATATCCAAGCGCTGCCGCACTGATGGTAACAGCTGGCACAAGATACAGTTGTCAAACAGGAGTACCAAGCACGATGACCCGGTGGCTCGCTGCCAAGCGGTTGCATGTTCTGCGGAAAGAATAATCATTTCTTGAGCCGCTGCCAAGAGAAGTACACTTACATTAGTGCTGGCAAGTGTAAGGTACACGAGACATTGATGAAACTGGTATTGACCAGTGGATATTGGATCCCCGGTATCTTGAAGGATCGCCTCAATAGGTATCACTTGAACAAGCAGGCAAACGAAGCGCTTCCCAGTTCTAGCGTAACTGCGGCACTATATGTTCATGCATCGTTGGATGTTGACATCATACTAGACATAGACCCGTCCGCATTCATTCACACTGTCGCAGAATCTGAGTCTGATATAGACAAGGAGGAAATAGATGTGTTATGCACTGTGCAAGCACTTGCACTTGCAACCGCCAGATGCAATACCAAGCGTGGATCAGCGAAAGGTGAAGGTAAGGGAAAGACTGTCCGGTTTGATGGCATATAAATTACCAGCACCCACATCTAGGCAAGCCACTGTAGCAGAGGAGATTATCTCTCCTGCTGTCCAAGCTTCATTGAGTAAGGGGAAAGTGCCAGAAGTAGCAAAAGTGATAACCGCACCAGCGGCGATCGAATCATTGGTGAACGCACGCAGGGTAACCACCGCTCCTGCAACTTCATCTTCATCCTCACCCGGTATAACACACACTGACCTTGCAGACTCGACAACACCAACAGCATCATCATCAGCGAAAATGGCATCATATTGGTATTCGCACGGCTTAGAAGACAAGGATGCTGATAAGCACATCCTCGAGCACTTGCTAGATACCCATATCAATATTTCGACAAGGGAACTATTCGCGATATCGCCCGACCTCTGCAAGCAATTTCGCAACCTCACCACCACCAAATGTGTCATGGTCGGCACAGTATTGGTCAATGAACTTACAGAACACCCAGTTTCAGATGAATGGATGTGCGACTATGATGCTAAGCGCTTGTGAAGTGACAATGGCCAAATTGTAGCAGACCATTTTGCACCATTGCGCTGCATTCGCACGACCACAATTAGAGGCAGGGTAGTAACCTGTGTCCTTGATCAAGGCACCAAAGTCATTGTAATGCTGGCCACCATATGGAAAATGCTTGGTGTTGGTCTGCGGTCAGACCATCACTTGAACATGGAATCAGTAAATACTAACAAGGACGTGACACTTGGCGTCATCAAGAACATGCCACTCGACTTCGGAGGAGGACCACTGTACTTCCAAGTACAGGTCATACCTCACGCAAGTTTCAAGATTCTT